ACAGAAAAATGCAGCCAAGGAGGAGGAGGAAAGGGGGAGACTTGGCTCAGAAATAAAAATATAGACGGCAGAGGGGTGAAGACTGAACCCCAAGAGAGGAATATATATATTGCAAAATTGAAAATGCTTTCCTTTCTTCTTCTTCTTCTTCTTCTCTCTTCTTCTTTTTCCCAGGCCTCCTCCTCCTTCTTTCTTTCTTTCCTTCCTTCCTTCCTTCTTTCTTTCTTTCTTCCTCTCCTTCTTTCCTCCTTCTTCCTTCCTTCCTTCCTTCCTTCCCTCTCTCTTTCTCCTCTCTGCCTCTCTTTCCAGCCAAATCAATGCATCCAAATGAGAGAAAGGGAGGGAAAAAAAAAGAAAAGAAAAAAGGGAGGGGAGGCCACAGAGAAGAAGAAGAAGAAAAAGAGCGGCTGCAAAGGCAGGAAGCCAAGCAAAGGCGTTGAGTCGCCCCCAAATAATAATAATAAAAATAAAAAATAAAAATAATATATATATATATAGGTCTAATGTCTTGGAGCAATGGGGGGGGTCTCTCTTCCTCCTCCTCCTCCTCCTCCTCCTGTGTCTTTGTGGGTGGTCAATTTAAGTCTCTATATAAATATTATAATTAATATTCTTAATTTTTGTGGTGGTGGGGGGTCCTTCTGGTCCTCTTCTCCTTCTTGGTCTCAGCTTTTCGGGGGTCCTGAGGGGGTCTTTGCTCCCCCTTTTTAAATGTCTTTTGAATCCCCTCACCCCCCAATTGGAGGGGTCTCTTTCTCTTTCTCTCTCTTCTTTCTTTCTTTCTTTCTTCCTTTATTGGCAGAAGCCTGGGAGCATCCTTGGAGGCGACTCCAATGGAGGCAGCAAGAAAAGGGATGGAAGGAAGGAGGAAGGAAGAAGGAAGGAAGGAGCAAGGAAGGAAGGAAGGAAGGAAAGGAGGAAAGGAGGGAGGCGGGAGAGCCCAGCCAACCCTGCCAGGGAAGGGAGGAAGGAGGGAGGAAGGAAAGGAGGAGAGAAAGAGAAAGAGAGAGGAAGAAAGGAAGAAAGAAAAGAGAGCGCCGCCAAAGGCGCTAAGGCGGATGCTTGCGGCTTGCGGCTGCTGCTCCCGTTGCCTCAATGGGGCTCCAGCTGCTTCAGTGACGCTCCCTCCTTCTGCGCATGCGCCCCTCCGGAGGGAAGAGGGAGGGGGAATGGATTTTGAGGGAGTTCGACCCAACAGCCAATCAGAAACAGAGAGAGAGAGAGAGAGAGAGAGAGAGAGACTAAGGGTCTGTGGCGCGCGCCCCCGGTTCCTTCTGCGCGTGCGCGCTCCTCCCTTGTGCATCATCCTCCTCCTCATCATCATAATCTTCTTCGTCTTTCTCCTCCTCCTCCTCCTCTTCCTCCTCTTCTTCCTCTTCCTCTCCTTCTTCCTCTTCTTCTTCTTCCTCTTCCTTTTCTTCTTCTTCCTCCTCCTCCTCTTCTTCCTCTTCCTCTTCCTCTTCCTCTTCCTCTTCCTCTTCCTCTTCCTCTTCCCTCAGGCTCTTTCTTCTATGGCTGAGGAGGGATGAAGAGGATGCCAAGCTGAAGGAAGGAGAAGAGGAGGGAAAGGGGGAAAGGGAAAGGGAATTAAGGGAAGGCAATAGCAGAAACCGATTTGCACTACTAAGCCTAATAGACTGTGAACCAGAAGAGCTTTGGTCTGAAGCCAGGGACAGTCCTGTGGACAACTTTGGTGGAATAGTAGTACACCACAAGATCAACAGTGTGATACAGCAGCTGAAAAGGTCAATGCAATTCTAGGCTGCATCAATAGAAATATAGTGTCTAAACCAGTGATTCCCAAGCTTTAGTCCTCCAGGTGTTTTGGATTTCAGCTCCCAGAAGCGCCTAACCAGCTTGGCCAACAGTCAAGAATTCTGAGATTCAAAGTCCAAAACGTCTGGAGGGCCAAAGTTTGGGAACCACTGTTCTAGACTGAGGGAAGTATGACCTCACCTGAAATAATGTGTCAAGATTTAGGCAACACAATTCAAAAAGGATGTTGAGAAGGTGGAGGGGGTACAAAGGAGGGTGACCAAAATGATGAAGGGTCTGGAAACCATGGCTTATGAGGAGAGACTTAGGGAATTGGGTATGTTTAGCCTGGATCAAAGAAGGTTAAGAGTGATATGATAGCTCTGTTTAAATATTTGAAGGGGTGTCATATTGAGGATGGACCAACCATACATGGAAAGAGAAATCCCACACGTCTAAGCAGGGTTTCGGGAAAGGAAGAGGCACGAGGGACCACATCACAAACATACAAGGGGGTGAGGGCATATGTTGTTTTATGTTGTACGCAAAAAAAAATTATGCTGTAAACCGCCCGGATTGGGTTACTAATGGGTGGTATAAAAATAAAATTTTTATTATTATTATTATTATTATTATTACAATGGCTAAAGGAGCGCACCAGGGAATTCCAAAAGAAAATCAGGATGTGCTTTATAGACTATAGCAAAGTCTTTAACTGCATATACCATGAAAGGCTATGGATGGCCTTAAAGACATGATGGGAGTGCCAAAACATTTGATAGTCCTGATGAGGAATCTGTCCTCAGGACAAGAGGCTACTCTCAGGTCAGAAAATAGAGAAACAGAATGGTTCCCAATTGGCAAAGGACTCAGACAAGGCTGCATCCTTTCACCGGATCTGTTCAACTTGTATGCAGAACATATTATAAGAAAAACAGGCTTGGACACAGAAGAAGGAGGAGGGAAAATATAAGGAAGGAAGAGCAACCATCTGAGATATGCAGATGACACCATAATACTAGCAGAAAACCTCACAGACCTAGAGCAACTACTAAGGAAGATCAAGGAAGAACATGCAAAGGCAGCCTTATTGTTGAACATTAAGAAAATACCATGGAGAACTGACACAAATTCAACCTAGACAATGAGGAAATTGAAAAAGTAAAAGGGTTCTCATACCTGGGATCAAATATTGATAGAAACAGGGACTGCAGTCAGGAAATCAGAAGAAAATTAATAATGGGGAGGGTGGCTATGAAAGAACTAGAAAAGATCCTAAAATGCAAAGATATACAATTCAGCAAAAAAGTCAGAATCCTACAAGCCATTGTGTTCCCTATTTCCATGGATGGATGAGAGAGCTGGACAGTTAAGAAAGCGGATAGGAAGAAAACAAACTCATCTGAGATGTGGGGCTGGAAAAGAGTGCTGAGGATCCCATGGATGGCCAAAAAGACAAACAAAGGGGTCCTTGAATAGATCAAGCTGGAAATCTCCCTGTAAGCCAAAATTATGAAACTAAGGCTGTCGTAGTTCGGACTTATCATGAGAAGGCAAGTTTCTTTTTTAATGTAAAATTTAAACCAAGGGTGGGGATGGTCTAAGATCAAAAGAGCAATATACTGAATGATCAAGATGCAATAAAAAGAAAGTGGAAGCAATAGAGAGAAGAACTATCTAAAAGAGACGAAAGAATAAATGACACATGGAATGAAGAACCAGATGGAGATGAAGCCCAAGTTTTGGAAAGCAAAGTGGAAGTGGCACTCAGAGAAATTGGAAGGAATAAATCACCAGGGACAGATGATATCCCAACTGAACTGCTTCAAACCACACAAACAGAATTAATTCCAGTGTTAACCAAAATGTGGGAAACAAATATGGAAAACAAAACAGTGGCCAGCAGACTGGAAACAATCAATATGCATTCCCTTCCACAAAAAGTTTGGAAGTGTTTAAAATTGTTTGTATTGTAGCTAAGATCTCTTGGTAAAGAGTAACATAGAAACATTTTTATAAAAAGTTACTTCCAACAAAGCGATAATACTATCCTCACAGGTTATTGTATAGGTGGCTTAAAATGTAACAAAAATAGCTACATGTAATAATTATAAAAGCAAGTTTCCTCTCAAAGAGAGGAGTATATGGTTCCTGTGTTTCCTTGCAACTTTCTCCATCCAAATAGGAATTAAAGAAAGGATGTGAAATCTTTAGCCTTCCAGATATTTTGGACTTCAGCTCCCATCAGCACAGATAATGCTGAAGGATTGTGGGAGCTGAAGTCTAAACCATTTGGAAGATCGAAAGTCCCCTTCTCTTGGTTAAATGGTTGAATGGCAAGTTTCATCAGAGGAGGTTTGCCACTGCCATCCTCTGAGGCCAAGAGAGTGTGACTTGCCCAAAGTTGCCCAGTGGGTTTCCATGGCTGAGCAGGGATTCGAACCCTGGCCTCCAGAGTCATAGTCCAATGCTCAAACCATTACACCTCACTGGCTATAGTCTAGTGCTTTATCAAACCAAAATGCTAGGATTTGACAGGATGAAGCTGTGACAGTTAGGGTGGAATTATGTGATGCATCCATGCTAAAGAAATAATGTAGTTTGACACCACTTTAACTGCCATGGGTCGATGCTATGGAATTCTGGGAACTGCAGTTCTGTGAGACATTGAGCCTTCTCTGCCAGAGAGCTCGGGGGGCACAATAAACTACAATTCCCAGGATTCCCTAGCATTGATCCAGGGCAGTTAAAGCAGTCTCAAACTGGATTATTTCCACAGTGTGTTTTGGACCATTGTGTATGTGTAATGGCCCCATGCATGCACAACTAAAAGTGAGCAAGATAACTTGCATCTCAATATTTGAAGACATCTTTCTTCATTGATTAACCATTTGTGATGTAAGGAGAGATAGTACGCACAAGCACAGTCAGAAAACTACAGTCTCCTTAGCATCTTTTCCTTCCCAAAGTTTATTGAAATGAATGGAGGCTGTTCCTGAATAGAGTTCAATTGTACCCAACATCAGTAAACTCCTTGCCATTGGCATAACCACATTTTGCATCCAATACAACACAATGCTGACATTGTCAAGGCCAGCTCTGGCAAAGAATTATTATAATAAAAAGCCCACTTTTGTAAAGTGAATTACAAGAATGAACCTTATCCGCCTAATGGAAGCTTCATCAGTAGGGAAGAGAACAAGACACACCCAATAATTTATTTTGCCTGCTAATCTGCTTCTTTGTTTTAAGCATTTATACGCCATGTTTCAGACGCACAGACTCCAAAAGCACTTTGCAAAACGTGTGTGTGTGTGTATGTGTGTGTAAGTGTATGGGTTGGTTTGTGAGAGAGAGAGATTGATAGAATAAACAAAAGGAGGCCATAAGAGAAGAGCTTCTTAAAAATCCAAATAAATCCATTAGTCAACATTTGTGGTTGCTATTTGCCATCAAGTCAATTTTGATTTATGGGAATCCTGTGATTGACAGACACCCATCCCAGGTTATAAACAGTCCTGCCTTGGTCTTGCAAACTTAGGGCCGTGGAGTCAATCTTTGTCATCATATCCCCTCTTAGCCATCTCTTCTCCAGGCTAAACATACCCAATTCCCTAAGGACCTTATCACACGCAGGCCACAAAGCGATAATAATGTGATAAAAGAATAAATCCAGAACTAAA